TTTTGAACTGTGGTGTTGGAGAAGACTCTTGAGAGTCCCTTGGACTGCAAGGAGATCCAACCAGTCCATCCTAAAGGAGATCAGTCCTGGGTGTTCATTGGAAGGACTAATGTTGAAGCTGGAACTCCAATACTTTGGCCACCTGATGCAAAGAGCTGACTCATTAGAAAAGACCCTGATGCTGGGAAAGATTGAGGGCAGGAGGAGAAGGGGACGGCAGAGGATGAGATGGTTGGATGGCATCACTGACTCAATGGACATGGGTTTGGGTGGACTCTGTGAAGTTGGTGATGGACAGGGAGGCCTGGGGTGCTGCGGTTCATGGGGTTGCAAAGAGTCAGACATGACTGAGCGACTGAATTGAACTGAACTAGGAATGTGGTCTTCACTTTAAAAATAAATTAATCCTATCACTAAAGCATGACCTTCTGGGATCACTGCTGAATTTTCCAGGTGATTTCTCTTTCTCTCTCTGACACACACACCAGCCATACCCCAATCGCCTCTTGCATCAAGCTCTCATACTCTGGACCATTATTCCCCTGCCCTAATCACCCCAGTGCCAGGTACCAGACAACTAGAATTAGCCCCTACAATCAAGAGCACATGGAAAATATTCAAACTAGCCAATCCTAAACCTGCTTACCTAGCCCTGTCCTTTCCTTCCTGCAGAAACCACAATAAAAGGTCTTGTCCACGTTTTCCTCTCACTCCCTCTGCCTCCTGACTGATCCTGATTCTTCCCTGTGTGGTGTTGTGTGGCTTGCTGTGTCTCCCATTTCTAGGGATCTATGAGTATAAACTTCCTTCCTGATGGTCATTTCCATGTCTGCCAGATTAAAACAAATCTTCAGTATCACTAAAACACACAAAAAGTAAATGCTGTATGATTATATTTATGTAAATTTCAAAAGCTGGCCTAAATATTTATGGTGTTACAAGTCAGGGTGGTGGTTATTTTGAGAGGGGACATAAGGAGACCTGAGGGGATCTTCTGCTATGCTAGTAATCAATTTCCTGATTTAGGTGCTGGTTGTAAGAATGTATTCAGGTTGTGCAAATCGATCAAGTTGTATATTTCTAATTTGGGCACTTACTTTATGCATGTAATATGGAGCAGTTACATTATTGGTTCCACTATGCCTCTCCCCGTATCCCTGTCCTTTGCAGTGTAACTGCAATAGTCTCCTACTCTGACCTTGGAATCCATAATGTGACTTGATCTGGACAATAGAACAAATAGAAAGTAAAGGTGTACTAGATTCTGGCCTGAGCCTCAAGAGGTCTTGTGTGTTTCTTGTCCTTTTATGCTTCTGTTATTGAGATTGTATAGAGATGATGGGGCTAGCTCACTCATGCTAGGATGAGAGCTGTGTGGAACAGAGCTGTCTCAGCTAAGGTTCTCCATCCAAACGTAGTCTGGAGCAGGCCTCTCTCAGTTGCAACACAGATGAATGAATGAGCATAGTTAAGATCAGTTGAGCCTAGCCTTGAACACCTGACCTCTATCTGACTCACAGATGTGTGATCTGAAGATAACTGACTTCTACAACAGTTTGTTATGCAGCAAAAGCTGACTGATACAGTAGTGGAAAAAGATGATGAGGACCAAAATTGGGCAAAGTTGTAAGAGGGGAGAGTTGAAACAGGAGAAATTTAATTTTTAAAAAAGTATTCCATCAAACTGGGCTTGAAATGTCACATTACCTATTATCCTGATATGGTATGGTACCAAGAAAACTAGTTTCCCAGTCTGCAAGCCAGCCTCCCAGGGAGGCTGTGGCTGTATTGAACAGAGAAGAGGAAACTGGAAACACACAGGGAGGATCTGGGTGTGGATGGAGGAGAGTGGAGGGGAAGATAAACGAGTTTATTTTTGGGTATGGTGGAATTTGAGGTCTCTGAAGGAAATCCAAGTGGAGTTGTTCAGCAAGGAGGAAATGCAGATGAGAAGCTCCAGTCTTTGCTGGAGATCTAGATTTGAGTGTTCTCAACTAGAAGGTAGTAAATGAGGAATCTGGAACTGGATCTGGAAAGCCAGTGCAGACACAACTCTAGGTACCTGTGAGAGCTGACGTCTGGTCACTCCATGGAGAGTGCTTCAGGTGGTAAGGGTGGGTCCTACATGGTGATCAACTGAAACGGCAGCGTATTTACAATTTAATTTTTAACCTAACAGCAAAGTGATAAATACCTCTTCAGCAAGCAGAGGGTTCCCTGTCACATTAAAGCATTACCATACACCAGGAATCAGGAAACAGCCTCAAACTGAGCAGTTGAAACGCTGTGTACCTTTCGTTGGAATACTAGGTAGGAAATGTCAGGAGTGGATGGAGAAATATGAATGGGGCTCCTGAGAGGCAGTTAGTGGGAGCAAAGGGAGAAAGATGAAGGAAGCACCCAGGAAAGTGGATAGAGGGAAAGGGAAAGATTGGGGTGGAGCCTGAAGTAGGGACAAGAGGAGAAAATTAATACGGATGAAGTCAAGGCAGATGGGACAAGAAGACAAGAAGATAAACAGTAGGTGGGAAGAAAAGGCCACGCTGGGCGGAGGAAACTGGGTTGAAGAAAGAAGAGGAAAAAGGGGCACAGAGCATATGAAGAATGCAGTCAAGGAAGCCTGGGTATGGAATCAGAGATGGGAAAAAGATATATTTTTATTTTTTGACCATGCCCAGTGGCATGCTGGATCTTAGTTTCCCAACTAGGGATCAAACCCCTGCCTCCTGCAATGCAAGTGCACAGTCCTAACCACTGGATCACCAGGAAATTCTCAGAGAAGGGAAGACGAAGCAGATAATGAAGGAAAGGGTGAAGGATGAGAGAAGCGCTGCAAACAGAAGGGAGAGAGAGAAGAAATGCGTCTTAAGAGTTCAGAGCGCAGTTGCACTCGAATTGCAACATGTGGAACTCGATTCATCCACCCTAGATGAGGGACTAGCCTCTTTAACGAGAAAGACCGCGGAGGCAGTAGTGATGGGGAGAGGCTGGTAACTATCTGGGGGCGAGGCGGTGCGGAAGGGTCACTAACCGAGGAACGCGGCTCCGGGACACAGAAAGCCTGGGGAATGCAGGATGTGCCCGGATGCTGGGCCCAGGGTTGGAGGAAGGACGCAGGGCTGAGTGGAAGCAGGAGGAGAGCGAAGGAGCACACGGAACCGGAGGGGTTGGGGAGACCCTGGTGCTGATTGTCAGTGGGTGGGGGTTGCGTGGCGGCCACTCAGTGTGTGTTACGGCCGCAGAATCACCCTGGCTAAGTCGTACCTGTGCTTTTCTCTTATTTCCTAGTCCCAGAAGTTGCAGCATCAGAGGCTGATGGGTGAAGAGCAAATCTTCGAAGGGCACTTAGAAGCTGAGAAGGGTGGCAGGCGATGGAGAGGGCGCGCGCGCGAGCGAAGGCGCTAACATGGGCTAATGGAAGGGCCCAGCACACGACGTTGGCTCCACGAAAGCCTTCATCCATTCTCCGCCTGGCTGCTTCCCAGAGTGCCAGCCTTGTGAAAGGGGCATCGCTGCGAGCCTAGCCAGGGCCGACCGCACTGGGATGGGAGGTGGGATGCAGGGGCGGGAGCCAAGGCCGAAGGGGCGGACGCGGGGTGGCGTCTAGCTCTCCATAAAGGGACCGCGGGGGCCTCGCTCTCTTCTGCGCTGGTAGCGGCCACCGGCAGGGAACGCGGCGCGATGTCTGCTCGCTGTCAGCAGAGTCCGGTGCTGGCAGGCAGTGCCACTTTGACCGCCCTGGGGGCACTGGTCCTGTACCTCGCGAAGCCCTCCGGCTACGGGAAGTACTCGGAGAACCTGACGCCCGCGGCTGTCCGTCTGCCCGCCCGCGCCGCCTGGTTCCTGCAGGAGCTGCCCTCCTTCGCGGTGCCCGCGGGGATACTCGCCTGGCAGCCCGGCTCCCTCTTGGGTCCGCCTGCTGCTGTGCTTCTGGGCCTCTTCTGCGCACATTACTTCCACAGGTAGCGTTTTCCCTTGAGGGCGCGGAGTGGAGCGCACCGCCAGGCTCCCGGCGTCCGGGAGCGCAGCGCGCGGGGCGCCTGGAGGATCGCAGAGGGGCAGTGCGGGCGGCTGCAAGGAGCGTGGAGTGCGGGGCCAGGGGAGCGTCCGGCAGCGCGGGGCTGCGGGCCGGACGCGGGCTAGTGGAGAAGCCATCGCGGGCAGACGCCGCCTCCGCTCTCCGCGGCTCCGAGCGCTTCTCAGGTGCGCTGCGAATCCTTTGACTGCGCTGCCGGAAGAGCGGGGCGGGAGGCGCCCTGGAAGGCTCGAGCTGGGCAGAGCTCTTGGCCCGGCGGTAACCTCTCCGATTCCGCGCGATCGCGTGTCACCTGTGGCGTCTCGTTCCTTCTTCACCTTTCCTTGACAGGGTGCGGGCGGGCTGGTTTTGAGGTCTTGAGGGAGCCCAAGTATTGGCATTTCCCGAAGGAAATGTAGCTCAGAGGCTCTGGATCAACTTATCTCGTTAGGGAGATGGGCAGAGCCAGACTTAAATGGTGGGAAAGAGAATGCAATGGGAACCCACGGGCCTGAGGAAGAGTCCCACTTCTCCGGGCCCACGGCAAAGGGACCGCGCTCACCACCAACCCGTTTCATGTTCCCCTGGTACGTAAGAGTGAATGAGTTGAAGTTAACTTAGAGCCCAAATGGTCTTCTGGATGAAAACAGTCCCAAGTTCAGGAGAAATTTACCTCTGGTCTGAGACGGAAAGAAGGAAAGAAACCAAGGGATTTCAGGATTTGGAGAATGACTGCTCAAAAGAGACTCATAGGGGAAGGAACAAGCGCTTGATTCAGTTGCCCACCATGCCTAGTCATTTGCCTCCTGCAGTCCCATGTAGCCCCGTTGTAACCTTGTGAGGTCTGCATTTACTGTGCCCATTTTATAGACAAAGAAACTGAGGCTGTTTAAGGTTAAGTGGCTGAATGAAAATAATACAGCTAGCGCCCAGCCAAATTAAAATCTAAGCCTGCGAATCTCTGTGGCTCAAGACCTTCCCACCATGTTACACGGGTAGATACTCTGTAAGGAGAAAACAGAATTCATAGACAGAGAAAAGTTGCCAAACCAAACCAAGAACTGGAACAGAAGCACAGCCTTTTTTGAATAGAAAATTTATGGGATCAAAAAATCAAGGAAATCTAGGTTAGGCATTAGGGTAAACAATTTGTCTCAAAGCTGAAAGGCATGATCCTCTCTCATAATAGATTGTGAGGGAAAAGCGATGCCTCATTTTGGGAAAAGGAAGTGTAGAAGAACAAGTTTTAAACTGTCTTTTCTTATAACTTTTTCTTATCCTCTGGATCTTTTTTATTGGTTAAGATTTAATATTTATGCAATTTTAACTGAATTCTCACTCTTTTAATAATTATTGCCAAGCAACCATTTTATAAATGGTTGTCCTTTCTGGATTTTATTTTACCCAGATTTAAGTGGTTTAGTTTGCACAGAAAGAAAGACATTAGATGCAGAAGGCTAGAGACCAGCTTTTGACTTCACTTGTTTTCTGAAAGCATATTTAACAGAAAAAATGTGATTTTTATCAGAAAGTTACTTTTAGCACCATAAACAATATTTTTATGAGTTCATTTCATCTTACAGTAAAGTTTAGTGTTTTCTTACAATCCTTTTAAAAAAGAATTTTAGACTTGCTTTTAAAGCCAAAAGGTACTTTTCCTTAATAAATTGTGACAAGTACATTAAAAGAACCAAGGAAGTAATTACTCATAAAATGAATATCGACATACTGTTCATCTTATTCAGGGGAAATTTAAAATGTAAGTAAAGGATTTGGGGACTAAGTCTGCCTGCAGGAAAATTCCCACTGAAAACACAACTCTGTGTGAATGAGTTTTCCCTAAGGAATGAAGATGTGATGTTTTGTGCATCATTCCCTTTGTGTGAACTCTTTGTTTGAGTCCATTGGACTATTGAATCTGTTATCATTTTGAGTGCTTACAAGGGGTTACTCCAAGAACTATTTGAGTTATTTATAATCCTTATACCATCCCATTAAGGAAGTTCTATTATCACTTCCATTTTGCAGGTGGGAAACTGGGGCCAAAAAATGATTAAATAACTTGCCCAAGGTCACACAATAAGCAGGGAGCTAGGATTTAGATCCATGGAGTTTGAATCCAGATCTCAGGCTCTTAGCTACCATGATAAACTGTTTTATATTTGCTCTTGCTATCTTGTTCTTGCCCTTTAAAAAAAATATATTTAGGTTTAAAGTTATTTTTTAAGTTATAAAAATAATGAATATTTACTATAGAAATTATGGAAAATACAAAAGTAGAAAATTTTCAATAATTTCAGCACCTGAGTACATTAATTGTTAATGTTTTGGGACATTTCCATCAAGGCTTTAATTTTTCTTGGTAGATTTTTATACATGCTTGCTATATGGAATATATATAGATTTTAGTTCTACCTGAGTACTGTCCATAATAAAAATTTTCCACATTATCATAGACTCTTTGTAAGTATCATCTTAGTGGTTGCTTGTTATTTCATTTATCCTAAAAACAATAATTTATCCATTAATTTATAGCTTTTGAAATAATTTAAATAATTTTTACATAGAAGTTTTATTAAATGGGACAATTTGTCTTTTTGTTTAGGCTAGGTTAAATAAGGCTATGATGTACATTATTGCATCCATTATTTTTTCAGAAGTCAGGACCATTTTCTTAGCCAGGATTCCCAGAAGTGGTTCAAAGATATGAGCATTTTGGCTTTAGGCTTTAGAAGTCATTTGGGTTGATAGTGAGGACACATTAAAAAAAAGCTCCAGACTGTCTTGGTTTTATCCTGTCCTGTGCATAGCTATGACACAGAGAATATGATGAAGGGAAGAGTGTTCACAAGAAGGTTGGTTGATATGTGGCTTAGACTCTTGCAAAATGTCCTTTGGGGACTATTCAGAAAGCAATATATCCCATAGGCTAGAAGGTGAAACTCTTTGCACTTTTCTCCATAGAAGGATGACATAGTAGAATGTGAATTTCACAAGGGCAAAGGTGTTTGTCTCATTTGTTCACTGCTGTGTCTTGGTGTAGAAAGTGACGGTACATAGCTGGTACTCACTAAAATTTGTTGAATGCATGAATGAACTCTTCTTCTGACATCAGTAAAGGCAGTCAGAAATGTGGGAGAGCTAGCAATTACTTAGGAATCATTGCTGAGATTGCATGACTCGGTCAACTCAGATCATTCTCTTCCCTTCAGAATCTATTGTTGTGGATATTTGGATGGTTTAACTACGTGAAAATGACTGCTGTGTAAGCATGTTGCCTAATCCCATGTCTAAAGTTGCTCATAGTCCAAATTTTCTCAGCTCTTGTTGACCTTGATTATAGCCTGGAATGATACTTTGCCCCTACTCCCTGATTGATCATTTTCTCAGCTTCCTGTGGTGTTTCATGCAATAGTCATCACACCACCTAAGCCTGGGGGAAGCTGAAGTTTTTTTAAGACTTGGGTGTGACCTTGGTGCTTAGATGAAAAAGAAAAATCTATTTTCAAAAAAAAAAGAGATTTTATTTTGTAAAAAGTTGATGGCAATTTGACCTTCCATGAGGCATGTTCAGAAGCAGAGTGTAATGCACACATTAGAATCTATTTGAATTTGGAGAGAACTTTTCTGTAGTTTACATGCTGAAACTAAAGATGTTTTCTATTCAGCCAAGTACAATGATGGCTTCAGTAAGAGGTCTTTTTGCTTGATTGCTTAGTTCATCCTCCAGAGCATGAATCCTCCATCCTTCAAGACTCAGATCATCACTTCCTCCAAGAAGCATTCTCTGAGTCCTTTCTCCTTTTGTAAGTCAAGATGTGGTACCATTCCTTGGGCTTTCATAGCAGCCAGGGTGGCCTTCCATGAGGCACTTCACACCCTTGATCATAATTCTCTGTTTTAAAGAAATGTCACACCTGTCCAGGCTCCTCATTCTATAGAAGCAGAGCACCGCAGAATTCAGTCAATTAGGGCAGAGAAGGGACTGGAACTTGAGTCTCCTGTCATGCCCTGCCAGGGCTTCCCCAATCTCACGACCTTCACATGTCTCCAATATCCAGAAGTAATCAAACCTTGTGAAGGAAATTAGTGATTGGCTGAAAATCAGAACAATGATTAATGTGGCCATTGGAAACCATCTTAACAATTCTCTCCTCTTATACACTGAGAAGAAAGGCCCACACAGAATAAACTGAATTCTTGTGGTCACTTAATCATGTGTTAAGGACATTCATGAGGCATAATTTGGATCAATTAAGATTAACTGAGAGATTCTTTAAATTGGGGGTCAGCAAGCTTTTTCTGTAGAAAAGCTAGATAGTAGCTATTTTAGGCTTTGCAGTCATACAGTGTCTGCTACAGGTACTCAACTCTGCTCTTGTAGCATGAAAACACAGACAGTATGTAGAGAAATGAGTGTGGTAATGTTCCAGTAAAACTTCATTTGCAAAAACAGGTAGTGGGCTGTATTTGGCCTGTGGGTCATATTTTGCCAGTTCTTCCTTAAGAAAACCATGAGTAACATAGCTTTACATTTAGTCCTCTGTTAATTCTATCATAAAATTGTGTTAAATCCTGTATAAAAGCAGTGGACATAGTCTAGGAAAATTCTGCTCCCTTTTAATAGGAATTTGGTAGTAAATCTCATTTTCTGAGGATTCCTGGGTTCCAAGTCCTTTATTTGAACCTTTGTGGGAAATAGTAGGAGTCTTGGAGTTTANGTGGACATAGTCTAGGAAAATTCTGCTCCCTTTTAATAGGAATTTGGTAGTAAATCTCATTTTCTGAGGATTCCTGGGTTCCAAGTCCTTTATTTGAACCTTTGTGGGAAATAGTAGGAGTCTTGGAGTTTACATTCTAAATGGGGTGACATCATAAGCACATCTGAAACATATACAGCTATGTTTGCCAGAGATGTAAACAAGTTTTAGAGATCTTGACCACTTT